AAGGACGAAGTAAAGGTGGGGAGTGGAACTGGGGCTTGCCTGGGGCCCACCACCAGTCTGGAATTAAATAGCAGAAGGACTGCCCTGGGAGACTCTGAGGAGTCCCCATGACAGTTCCTGGTGATGGGTTGGCCTTGGCAAAGGACCCTAGCAGCAGGCAGTTGTCCTGACAAGAGGGTGGTCCCTGTCGACAGTCCCTGGCAGTTTCCCCAGCAGAGGGAGGGAGCTGTCCTGGGAGTTTGGCCCCCAACTACTTGTTCTTTTTGAAGAAGCTGAAGCGCTTTTCCCGCTCTCGTTCTCTGCCGTCCTTGCTGCGGAGCACCACGGGCCCCTCAGCTCCGACCGCTGGCACTGGGGGCATGGTCATGGCCCGGGTCATGCCCCGGCTGGCACTGGACACCACTGGATCTTCATGCTCTCCAGAGGCAGAGGACGCGGTGGCAATGGCTGCGTTCACCACCCGCAGCCACGAGCTCATCTCTGCCTGCAAGGTGGGTGGAAGGAGGCCCCATCAGCCCTGGGGCAGCTGTGCAGGGCAGCAGGCAGGCAGATGGTGGGCATGTGGGGAGAGAAAGGGGGGGCAGAGACACTATGGGACTCTGTTCTCCTGATAGAAAAGGACCTGGAGAATGGGGAGCATGCTTTGGGGTGGGGGTGGGGGACACCCCAAACAGCATCCTGGGCTACCTTGTTACAGGGGTGAGACTTGGAGGAAGAGAGGAGCAAGTGGCAAGGGGAGTCTGAGCAGTGAGTTCTTTGGGGGCCCAGGGAGAGGGGGGTTGCTCACCTCATCCTTGGCCTGGAATAGGTACTCTTTTCCATCCTGTAAGCTGGGGAGGGGGGTAGTGAGAAAGGCCTCAGAGCAGAGCTGGCAGTCGGGGTTTGCCACCCCCTCTGGGGTGGCTAGAGTATCCTGGTCCCCCCGCCCCGGGCATCAGGCTGAGGGGACTCCTGGTGGCAGCCCCAGCACAGTGCAGGCAGGTTTTACGCCTTTTTTCAGATTCCACGCAGAAGCCCTTTAAGAAGAGCTGCCAAGGACTGAGCCGCCCTCACCTTTAGGGGTCTAGGGGGCTCATAGTCCCCAGCTGGAAATGAGCTTTTCCAACCGTCAGCCTTCCCCTCTGGCCGGTCTTGCTCCAATGGTCACGGCCCCTGTCCCCACTCCCTCTGGATGGACAGACTCCAGCTGACAGCCCTGACCCCACCCCCTGCCCCGGGCCCTGTGGGCGGGGCGCCTTGCTCCTACCCCAGCTTGAAGACATGTTTGCGTTTCCGGTAGTCAAAGGCGACACTGCCCTGGGCCCTGGCCAGGCTGACAGGCACTTCTCCGTGGTAGGGCACGCCCACACTGGCCGCCTTCGAGTCCTTGTAGAAGCCGAGGCTCCCATGGCGCAGGACGCAGTAGACATTCTGCCATGACCTTGTGGGTGGAAGTAAGGTCAGGGTGAGATGCGCTGAGCGTCTGGACCCCCTCTGGTCTGGAGCCCGTCCCTGGACCAGAGCTGGCCTCTTCTTCTATACAAGCAGGCACTGGGGAGGCAGGTCACAGGCCCAGCTCGGCTCAGGGCAGCCAGGCACGTACCTGTTGGCAGCCTTCTTGCCGAAAGCCTCCATTTCTTGTTTTCGGCACAGCAGCCCCTCCATCTGTTCCTGGGCAGAGGGCTCCGGGGCGCGAGGGGGCAAGGTGGCCCCGTGAGCCGACTCAGAGGACCTGCTCTGGGGCATCGCGAGTGGGGGCGGGCCCCGGGGCCGGCTCTGCCTCTCTCCCCGGGGCCCATTGGCCTCATCTCCGGCACCAGATGCCTGCAGGGAGAAAGGTGTCTGTGACCAGGGGGGAGAGGAGATGGGAGTGACCTGCCGTGGATGGCCGGCCTGCCCCCAGTCCCCTCCTCCCCTCCCACCTCGCCACAGGAGACACTCACTGGCCTTTCGGGGAAGCTGCGCTGCTCCAGCCCCTGTTGCTCCAACACAGGCTGCAAAGACAAGCAAGCATCAGAGGGCCTGCTCTGAGGCCGGGTCTCCGCTGGGCCCCCAGCCCCAGGGGGGTTACCTGGGAGGACTCGGAATCCGTGCAGACCCCGTTGACGGTGGGCGTGGATGACGGCGGCCGTGGGTGGGCCCTGGAATGGTGGAAGGGGCTCAGAACAATCGATCCCGGGTGGGTTGGGATCAGCCCTGTCTTCCCCCATGTCAGCCCGGCGCTCACCCGTCCCAGGCAGCGTCAGGAGCCGTCTGGCCGTCCACCAGGTCCGCTTCTGGCTGTGTGGCCGTGGGCTCAGGAGCAGGGGGCTGTCTCTTCCGCTCTTCCTCCTCCTCCTTTCTTCTCCTCGCCTTCTCCTGCTCCTCCAGCTGCCCAGAGAGCCGAGATCAGAGGGCAAGCCGAACCCACTGGGCTGCACCCACAGCATCTTGTAGGCCTGAGCAGCACTGCCCCGTGGGGTTCCCGAGGCTGACACCGCCAGACCCGGGCTGCCATGGCTTTCCCCCTCACAGCAGTCGGCAGCCGAGCGCTTTAGCCAAGGTGCCACTCCTTGGTCAGAACACAGAAGGTCATGCTCTAGAGGCCCAGAGCCTGGGGAAGGCAGGGCAAGATGGGCAGGATGGAGACCAGGACTCAGAAGGAAGAGCGTACTGGGGTCAGGTCTCAGCAATCTGGGTGGGGGCATGGGGTGAGTGCCCACCCTAGCCACTAGAAGGTGCTCCGAGTGTGCCCAGCGCACTGGGCTGCGGGCCAGACCCCTCACCGTGGTAAGCTTCTCCAGGGCGCTGAAGCGCTCTTCCCAGGCCACCGCGGACTTCTGGAAAGCCTCGTGGCGCTTGATGAGACTCTCCACCTCGTCGACTGTGCAGCCCAGCTCTGCGCTGCGCACCAGCGGCTCCTGGCTGCACAGCCAGGCCTCCGCCACACCAGCGTCTCTGCCAAACACCAGCACCTCCAGAACTGCGGGGGTGGGGCAGGGCGAGGCCAGGTTAGGGTGGGCGCCGCCGCCCCTGGCCACCTCCAGGGGGAGCAGTGCCAGTGCCCAGAGTGCCAGGATTCCTGGCTTCCTTGGCCCTGGAGCCTGCAGGATATGAGCTTCTCTCCCAGACCCCTCCGCCCCCCCAGGATCCCTGGACGCAGGACACAGCAGCTCACCAAGCTGGAGCCAGGCCACCTTCTCTTGCCACTTGTCGGCTGTCTCCTGGCGCCGGGCCTGCAGCTGAGAAAGCTTCTCGGAGATCTGCAGGCAGAGGTGGGAGTCAACCCAGCGGGGTGTGGGCGGGGGGCTCAGAAGCGGGATCTACCAAGATCACCAGGTTGTGGGGAAATGGTGGGAACTTCCCAAATAGTGTTGAGGGGTCAGAGAGCGAGGGACGAGCAGGACAGATGGACTGTGCAGGCCCCTTGAAGCCCTCCAGGGGAGGACGGCCCCCTTGCTTACCTCTTCTGCCGCGTAGTGGCCCCTGGCAAGCAGCTCCTGGCCCATGGTGCTGCAGGTGGAGAAGCTGTCTGCCCGGGCCTCGATCTCGGCCTTAATGCCCTGGTGGTTCTTGATGACCAGGTCTGCCGAGGACACGTCCCTGAGGGGATACAGACATGAAGTCACACGCTGCCCACAGCCTGGCCGCAGCCCTGGGTGCGGCTGGCCCGGTGGACTCACCGGGGCCGCTCCTGGGCGTCCATCCGCAGGTGGACGCCGTCCATCCACAGCATGAGCTCGCGGACGGCCTTGAAGAAGCGGAACTTGTCTGTGGTGTCCAGCAGCAGCTGGCGGCGGGCGGCCGAGCTTCCCTGCAGCTGGGCCCAGGCCTCAGCCACAGCCCGCATGTGGCGGCCGATCTCCTCCGCCTTCTCCCCAGCATAGGCCTGCTGGAGCCGCTGGCCATCGTCCTGCACCTGCTGGACCTGTGGGGCCCAGAGAGAGTCAGCAAGAGCCGGCCCTAACGCCAGCATGGCGGCTCTTCAGGCCTGGCGGCCCTACCAGCCAGGACAGCAGGGGGAGCAGCCAGGTGTGCAGGGCAGTCTGCCCACATCTGGCCACACTGGGAGACAGGCCTTTGCCTCAGGGCCACCTTTAAAAGGGCTGCAAATCAGTGGAGCTCCCCGAGGCCTGTCCAGGAGGGTCCTTAGAGACCGTGTGGGTGGAAACGATTAGAGGGATCTAAGGTTCATGTATGGTCGCTCCGACGTATGGTTCGTCCAGTTATCGGGAACCAACAACGGTGTTTTGGGGGGTACCTCATATTGCTCGTTCCACAGGCACCCTGGCAGCACAGCAGACGATGCACTGAGCTCCAAACCTCACCCCAAAACAGCACCACCCCCAGCCCGCCCTGGAGGATGCTGCCCCAGCTCCTGGGAGCTCCCCCGAGGTCCCTACCCTCCAGGGGTCAGACCTGGGCGCTGAGGGCCTGGATGTCGTGCTCGTAGGCGCAGTGGCGGCGCTGCAGGGCCTCGGCAGCGTTGAGGTCGCGGCCCGCCCCATCTGGGAGCTGCTGCTGCTTGTGCTGCACCCTCGCCAGCGCCTGGCGAGCCCCGTGCAGGAAGCGCTGCAGCTCGTGCGCGGCCGCCAGCACCTGGCCCCGCGTGTCCAGCAGCTCCAGCAGGTCAGCCCAGGCCTCGTTGAGGCTGTCCTTCCACTCGGCCACCGTGGCCCGGGCGGCATGGCCCCCGGCAATGAGCCCGTTGGCCAGAGTGTTGACGCCATGCACGCGCTCCTTGCCGATGGTGCTTGTGTCCCTGGAGAACTCGCGGAATTTGTCCTGGAGCATCTGGTGGAGGGAGAGGGTGCAGGGGGTGGGGTGGGGAAAGGACGTGACACGGGATGGTGCTGTGAGCCTGGGCGAGGGGCCGAATGCGCTCAGCTCAGACTGCGAGCCAGCTGCCTTTCCTGGGTCACCTGGGTCCAAAGGGTTTCCCTACAAGGCTAAATTTACGCAGCTGATGTAGCTGTTCCCGGGGCACTGCAGCTTTGGCAAAACCTTCTGGGGTACTTGGAACTTTCAGCTTCCAGACAACAAGACCCCACACTGTGGCAGGGCGCCAACCATGTCATCGCCTCCCCACACTGCCCTATTGGGTACAGATGACGAAGAGGGTTTGGGAACTCCCCTTTGCCCTGCTATGCTCAGCCGAGGGTCCTCCCTCCACACCTTGGAGGAGACAGCCTGCTTGGCATCGGCCTCGTGCCCAGGTGTTCTCCACTCGGGCGGCTGCCATCCAGGCGTCCTCCACACAACTCACAGTCACATGCTCGAAGTCCTGGCCCAGCTCGTGGGAGGCGGCCACCACCTCGCGCTCCTGGATCCACTGCTCGAGGTCGTCCAACTCTCTGCGCAGCTGGCAGAGCCGGAGGTGCTCCTGCAGGCGCTCCCGCCGCTCCCCTGCCAGCTCCTTCAGGCTGGCATACAGCTTGTCCACCTGGGCTTGGCGGATGGAGAGCCGCGTGCTGCGGGCAGAGGAGGGGGGCCGCTGGCCTCAGGACATGGCCCTGGAGCCTGCCTGATCCAGAGAGCCCTGCGGGAAACCCCGTGGTATCTGGGGTTATAATCTCGTCTGGGACCAGGCCGTATTCGTGCAGGATGCCTTGGGAGTCCATCTCCTCTGAGATGTAAGAGC